TTTTTGTGACCGGCAACGGATCGCAACCCTCAGTGTCACGCCCGTACCGGACTGGGACTGGCAACGGGATTGCAACCCTCGTTGTTGCGCCCGCACCTCGCTCAGCCAGTGAGCGGCGGTCTGTATGTGGGATCCGAACCCTCGGTGGGAGCGCCGCCACGCTTCCCAAGTGGCGCACTATAGCAGTGCGCCACTGGGCCGGCCCGAAAGTTTTTAATTTTGATGAATCCAATTATCTGTTTTTTTCTTTTGTTGCTTGTGCTTTTGGTGTCATATGCAAGGAATTTTTTTTTTCCTTTTTGTCTTTTTTTGTGACCGGCAACGGATCGCAACCCTCAGTGTCACGCCCGTACCGGACTGGGACTGGCAACGGGATTGCAACCCTCGTTGTTGCGCCCGCACCTCGCTCAGCCAGTGAGCGGCGGTCTGTATGTGGGATCCGAACCCTCGGCGGGAGTGCCGCCGCGCTCCCAAGCGGCACACTGTAGCAGTGTGCCACCGGGCTGGCCCCATATGCAAGGAATTATTGTCCAATCCAAGCTCACGAAGATCTACCCCTATGTTTTCTTTGAAGGGTTTTATAGTTTTAGCTCTCACATTTAGAAATACGACCCATTTGAAGTTAATTTTTACACACTGTGTGAGAAAGGGATCCAACTTCAGTCTTTTGCATGTGGATATACAGTGTCCAAGCACCATTTGTTGAAAAGACTATTCTTTCCTAAGTAAACCATCTTGGCACCTTTGTTGAAAATCAGTTGACCATCAATTATATAGGTTTATTTTTGGATTATAAATTCTATTCCATTGATCTATATTTCTATCCTTGTGCCAGCCAGTAACACATTGTCTTGTTTACTATACTTTCTAGTAAGCTTTGAAGTTGGGAACTTTATTTTTCCTTTTCTTTTTATTTCTTTTAAAAAAGATGACCATAAGGGTATCATAACCCTTAACTTGGTGTTGTCAGCACTATGCTCTCCCAAGTGAGCTATGTGCTGGCCCAGTTTTTCCTTTTCAAGGTTGTTTTGTCTATTCTGTGTGCCTTGAATTTCCACATGAATTTTAGAATCAGCTTGTCCATTTCCACAAAGCAGCCAGCAGGAATTTTGATAGGGATTTTGTTGAAACTGTAAATCAATTTGGGGCATGTTGCCATCTTAATAATATTAACTCTTCCAATTCATGAACACAGGATGTCTTCCCATTTAGCTCTTCTTTATCTCTTTCAATAATGTATTGTAGTTTTCAGAGAATATGTTTTGCACTTCTTTTCTTAAATCTATTCTTTTTTTTTGTCTTTTGTCTTTTTCCGTGTCCGGCAACGGATCGCAACCCTCAGTGTTGCCCCCGTACCGGACCGGGGACCGGCAATGGGATTGCAACCCTCGGCGCTGCTCCCGCGCCTCGCTCAGCCAGTGAGCGGGAACCCGTCTGTATGTGGGATCCGAACCCTCGGGCGGGGGCGCCGCCGCGCTTCCCAAGCGGCGCACTTATCCAGTGCGCCACCGGGCCGGCCCTTAAATCTATTCTTAAGTATTCTATTCTGTTTGATGCTATTGTAAATGGAATTGTTTTCTCAATTTCATTTTTGATTATTCATTGCTGTGTACAGAAATACAATTGATTTTGTATATTACATTTTAAAAGTTTCTCAGTTTATATTTGTAATATGGTAAAATGGATAGATATGACCCACATAAGCAAACATCTTTGGGGGTCATCATTAACTTTTAATAGTGTAAAAGGATTCTGGAGTGATAATGTTTGTGAACCACTGCTTTACTAATGTGTAACCAACATACAATAAAATTTGTATATCTAAAGTATACAATTTGATGAGTTTTGACACATGTATACATCCAAGGAAACCATTAGCACAAGATAATCAACATATCCACGGACTCCAAAGTCTTTTCTTGCCTTTTGCAATTCCTTCCTCCACCACCCCCCATTCATCTTGCCTTGTCCCTACGTAACTGCTAATCTGCTTGCTTTCTGTTACTATAGATTAGCATGCATTTTCTAAAATTTTATATAAATGGAATCATATACAATGTTCTCTTTTTTGTCAGCTTCTCTCCCTCAGCATAATTATTTTGAGATTCATTTTGTTGTATCTCAATAATGCATTTTTTTTTTCATTTTTGAGTAATATTGTATGAATATAATTACAATTTGGTTATCTGTTCATCTGTTGTTGATGAACACCTGAGTTGTTTTCAGTTTTTGGTTATTACAAATAAAGCATAAAGATCAAAATATTTGGAAACTGCTGCTCCATGCATTTTACATGAATTATTAGTAACAAAACCTCTCTCTTTAGGCTGTTGTAAAAACCCAATGAGCTAATGTATATAAATGTATATGTTTGTAAATATGAGTTATTTCTATTCGCACTTACTCACAATATATTACTTTCATTTAACAAATGAGAAAGTTAAGGATCAGAGAACTGAAGTAATTAGCCTAAGTTAGCCTATAGCTAGTAAGTGGTGAAGCCAGGATGTAAACCCAAATCTATCTGACTTTGGAGCCCACTTCATCACCTTGCCCAAGCAAGGCAGGGTCAGGAAGTGCTGGATCTGTTTCTTGAGGTGGTTTGAAAGGGAATTATAGACTAGCCTTGGATGAATACCTGGATTAGAAATATATTTTTATGTGGCCCTTCTGAAGTGGTAACAGGGACATTTTTATGCGGAGAAAAAGCAAATCATTAAACTTTTAGCTTTTAAAGTTACTAAATAGGGGGCACCAGAGACACGCTCATCCTACCCATATTAGCTATGGTCAAAGTAACACTTCTTTTGATAGCAGTAAACTTCTAGTTTTCCTATCTTATAAAAAATTATGAATTATTTTCACAGGATTTTGGGATTCCCAGGGGTTGTGATAGAAGATCGACAAAGCTCTTTCCCTGTCTCATTTCTTCCTCAAATAAAGGAAAGAAAGAAATGATAAGTCAGTTCATATACTTCCACTCTTGGACCCCATTTCTTCCCATCCCATCGCCAAGAAATATAGGCTTTCCCGTCAGCTCACTTGGGAGAGTGTGGCGCTGATAACACCAAGGTCAAGGGTTCGAATCCCCATACAGGTCAGCTGCCAAAAAGAAAAAGTCACTCACCTCCCAGGAGAGGAGAAATCAAGGTCTTTTGAAGAGGTATGAGCAAGGTGGTCTGGGATCTGTCTTATAATGCAATTGGGGAATGCAGCATACATATTAGAGGCAGGGAAGGAAAAAGGACTGTACATTGGGATCTGTAGAAGCAATGAGAAAAATGGTATACTTTTCACTGAGAATCCTTTTAGAACAAAGAAGTATATAAGTAAATTTGTAAAATCTATTGTGTGTGTATAAAATATAATTTACCGAATACTTTCTATGTGTTGAACATTGTGCTAAGCAATTTACATACATTTTCTCATTTAAACTTTACAGTAATCTTATGATATAGAGACATTATCTCATTTTACAGACTATGCTATCAGATCGCTTTATCTATATTTACGCTCTTGTTCCTACAGCCAGTTTGTAAACTCCTGGCTGGACATCATCTTACACTCACTTTACATGTGAGGATAATCTAGCTGTGAAATTGCTTGTCTTATGAATACCAGGGTTGATCTGAAGAAAGATCTAAGGGACTGATGAACTCTTGGTCATTTACTACTGTATTTATTCATTTAAAGTTTATTGATGCCCACTCTGTGCCAGACCCTGGGCCAGGCATACATGATAGAGAGATGAATAAAACATGGTCTTTGCCTTGATAGAACTCCCCTATCTGGGACAATCTGGAAAATTCTCTTTTCTTTTACAGTTAAACTCCTTGAAAGGGTTGTCTGTACTACCCTTGTAATTCCCCTCTTCCCATTGTCTGTTTTTTTTAAATGAAAAACCAATGATTTTAATGTAACAGTTAAAAAAAAAAAGTCAACTGAAATGGTTTCAGATTCCACATTGCAACTAACCTTGTTTTATTTAAAAATTGAGATACAATTCATGCATTATAAAATTCACCCTTTTAAAGTATCCAATTCATTGGTTTTTGGTATATTCAGAGTTGTGCAACCATCACTACTATCTAATTCCAGAACATTTATATCACCCCAAAAAGGGTTGTTATGAGTCACAAACATATATAATGTATTCTGTAAGTTGGAAAGTGCCAGACATGTGTAAAGAATCTTCTTACAGGTTTTGCGCAAAGAACCCTTATTGGTTAGGGGTGTGATTCAGGATACATACCAGGGATCCTGGGGTTTCCACCCCACGTCTTGCTTGCCTTTCTTCTTTGAAGTGCATCAAACTCTCCAAAGGGGAGACAGCAACTTTGATCTGTCCCTGGCACTCCCCACTGAAGTCTGTGATGTTGTACCAGCCACAGACAAACTGGAAGCCAGAGAGAAGTGGGGAGAGGTCTACTGAGGCAAAACCAATCACCCTCTCCTCATCTGTGGGGGGAAGAGAAGAGCTCATCAGTGTGGCTGGGCATGTCTTGCTATCGGAACTAGAGGCTGCACACAGAGATGATTCAGGGTCATAAAAGAATTCAGTGATTCCAAAGCTCTCACAGAAGACAGATGAAAAGGTTGAGAGAGGCTGGCAACCAGAGCCTGCTTTCACTGTTATGAACTCCATTTCTGTATGGCAGGGAAAAGGTGGCAGGGTTGAGCTTTGTTCTCTTGACATAGGCATCTAGAAAACATCGTTAAACTTAAGAAACACTTGTTCCTTTCCCTAGGGGAATTATAGCCTAGCTTTGGATGGATGCCTGGATTAGAATATGTACGACATTTTTTTTTTTTTTGTGACTGGGAAGGGGATCACAACCCTTGGCATGGTGTAGCCCATACCGCGCTCAGCCAGTGAGCGCACCAGCCATCCCTATATAGGATCCGAACCCGCGGCCTCGGTGCTCCCAGCGCCGCACTCTCCCGAGTGAGCCACAGGGTCAGCGCTAGAATATGTATGACATTTTGATGTGGCCCTTCTGAAGTGGCACCACACTTTCCCAAGTGAGCTAACTGGCCAGCCCTAATTTCTGGATGGGGAAGAAATGGGGTCAAAAAGTGGAAGTGTATGAATTGACTCATCATTTCTCTCTTTCCTTTACTAGAGGAAGAAAAGAGACAGGCAAAGAACTTTGTTGATCTTCTATCATGTCTCAATAATTTTCCTCAGGGCAGTGGGTCTTGAAATTGTGAGATTTGCATTTTGCTATTTATACTTATCTGTATTTTCCAAATTTTCTATGACATACATATGCATTATTTTAATTAAGAACAAAGTAACACAAATTACAAAAGAAAGACAAATAATGTTCTGGAAAACCAGTACATGGTGTAAAACAAGCATGGGCTCAGGCTCTTCTCTGTATGGTAAAGGGTTTGCCCTTAATGACTGAGAAGACCCCCTGTCTTCTGGGTAAACAACCATACAATGGCCTTCATTCTTACACTTCTTTGCCCCTTATTTCTCATTTCTGACATGAATGTAGCTGGGGACAAACAGGCCTCTGTCACTCCACAAGTTCCTATTTTGTATAGGCTCCATTCAGTTTACTGAATATCAAAGGCAGAATCTACTAAACATTGACACAATAGGTTTTCAATTGCTAAATAAATCAAGGAATGCAAATTTTCAAGAGTAGTAATCATCAGGCTCCCACAGCAATTCGTGCACAATCCTGGTGATACTGTACTCATCATATACCATACAACATTTGTTTAGACAGCTTAACCTTCTTTAGATTGGGACCTACCTAAAACATAAGAGCAGGTTTTACTCTTTGTTTTCTACATTCTTCATAACTGGCATAACCTTTCCCCTGATCATGATGAATTTGATAAACATCCACTGAAAACACAAGTGAACTGTCCAACGTTGAGTGAGACAAAGAAACAGTGTGCCACAGTAGCAAAACTGAGCATGGCTTTGACTGCAAAACACATTACTCTAATTCCCTGAGCCTCAAGTCATATGCATAATGAGAGGCACTGAGCCAGATTTAAGAACCCCTTCAACTTGGAGAATCTTTGCTTCTATGAACGCTTGAAGCTGTATTCCACAGAGTGGGGGTCAAGTAATTCTAACCATTGGGGGTAGCAATGGGTTAAATGTGTCCCCCAAAAGCTCATGTATTGGAAGCTTGATCCCCACTGTCACAGTATTAAGACGGTGGGAAATCTAATTATGGTAATTGAAAGGTGGGGCCTTTAAGAGGTGATTAGATTGTGAGGACCATGCACTATTGAATGGATTAATCCATTGATGGTTTAATAGGTGGTCACAGGCATGGTTACGGTGGCTTTATAAGGAGCGCGAGTGAGCAGGTTAGCTCTCTTGCTCAGCCGATTCTTGCCCTGTGATTCTCTGCATTGAAGAAGGCCCTCACCAGATGTATTCCCTGGACCATGAACTTCCCAGCCTCTGAAACTATAAGAAATCCTATTTCTTTATAAATTACCCAGTTTCAGGTATTCTGTTATAAGCAACAGAAACAGACTAGTACAAAGGTGAAAAATGATGGCAAGAGTCATTAATTTGCATTCCAAAGACTTGTTACAGCTTTGCAAAGAAAATTACTCTCGCTTCATTTGGCTATTGAACATGTAACCTGTTCTTGATATATTGTAATTTGGGGTAACTTCACTTTGAGGGGTCTGCCTAACATGAAAGCACTACATTTGCTAAGCAGATCATGGAGAAAAACAATGGCTTTGAAGAGTTAAATTCAGCATCAGATTTAGCAGGACAAACTCACCAATCTTCCATTGCAGTTTATGTTCTAGTCATCTTGAACTTCCCTCTTACTCTTTTTTTACTCCAGGTTTTTGCATTTGCTGTCCCTTCTGATTACAGTATGCCCTGCCTCTTCATTTCTCTGCTGGGGTATGCTCCAGGAAGCCTTCTTTGACATCCTAAATCTAGGTAAGATGTGCACTAACAGACCTCCCTGTATGTTGCCCAATTGTACTATACTGTAATTTTCTGTGTCTCACACTGACTGTAAGCTCTGTGAGGACAAGGACCATGTCTGTCTTATTTTACTTTTGTATCCCTAGCTCTTAGTATAGTACCTGGCACAGAACAGGAACTCAAATATCTGTTGAACACAGCTTGGTCAGGTTTAATTATTTTCTGTAATAGGTTTGCTGAGTCTGTTTGGAAAGGACAGAGTTAAGGGGAGAGAGATATATACAGAGATACAGAACTAGATGAGTAGTGGTCAGTTTGGTCTAGGCATTTTCCTTCTCTTCATTTATAACAGGATCTTACAGAACCCTCTAGGGGTCCTGGAATGTAGGGAATATATTTTATTCTCTAAACCCAATACCCCTAGCACAGTACCTGACACAGTACCAGCACCTTCCTCACGGGGAGGTTCTTAAAATAAGGAAGGATAAGCTGTCAGACTCTAGTCTCGTGTACTGCTTGAAAATGCTAGGGTCTTGGTTAATAAGCAAGAGTCTGCAGAAGGCATAACATCGTAGAAAGTGGGGAGAAACCACTAGCATGTGGCATGCTGTACATTATGACTGTTGACAGACACAATTGGAAAGATTCAAATGTACTTGGATTTCTACACTAAGCACATAGTCAAACAAAGTGATATGATTTCTAAGTATTTAAATTCCACAGGAGGGGGCCGGCCCGGTGGCGCACTGCTACAGTGCGCCGTTTGGGAGTGTGGCGGGGCTCCCGCCGAGGGTTCGGATCCCACATACAGACCGGCCACTCACTGGCTGAGCGAGGTGCGGGCACAACACCGAGGGTTGTGATCCCGTTGCCGGTCCCGGTCCCGGTCCGGTACGGGCGCGACACTGAGGGTTGCAATCTGTTGCCGGCCACGAAAAAAGACAAAAAAAAAAAAAAAAAAAAAAAAAAAAAATTCCACAGGAGAACAACATGGCATTCTGTGGGATTACTCTCTAACACATATCTGTGTTCCCAGCACCACCAGTGCTATGGTTTCACTTGGTTAAACAAAGAAAAGGATTGCCAAATTGTTAACAGAACATGACCTTATTTTTACAACCAAATAGATATTCATGGAAAAGAGTTCATACCTCTTTTATGCCAAACTTTGAAGATCAGGGTTTGTTGTGGGTCCAGAAGAAGTTCTTTTGATAGCCTATTAAGAAAAACAACCACCATAAATCAACTGTGCAGAGATTTTCTGTAGTATAAAACTTAGATTTGAAGACTATCTTATAGCTTGCAAAGCACTTTCCAATCATTATTTCATTTCATCTTCATGGTCATCTTCTAGGATATATCTTTATCTTCATGGTTAAAATGAAGGGATGGAAGCTCAGAGAGGTGAACTAACTTGCCAGTACTTGAAAACAGGCTCCCCTGATGTAGCACTTCCCGCTTATCCTCAGTAGTATCTACCACATTCCAACTTTGTTTCTCTAAGACAGGTGAAGAAGTATGGAAAGGGAGCTCCTCATCATGTAAGGAACAGCTTTATTGGAATGGGTAAGAATTATTCTTATGCCTTAAGGTGGGGCAATGGTGAGAAGGGAGGAGGGGAAAAAGAACATTTACCGAGTGTCTGCGTTGGGCCAGGAATGGTGCCAAATGTTTCATATACATTTAACCTGCACAAAAACCTATGACATGGGCATTATTATCTCTATCTTACAGATGATGAAGCTGGGCTCAGAAAGGAAAAGTGATTTGCTTAAGGTCACATAAGAGTCAGTAAGTGGCAGGGCTGGAATTTGAACCCTGGTTTGCCTGACTCCAATTCTACATTGTGCAGAGGCAAGGCAACAAAATAAGTAAGTGCCCAGCTTTCATACCTATAAAGAAGTGGAAATGGAATTCGCTGAGCACCTCTAATATATTTTATATGAAGTGAATTACAGTTTTAAATTACAAACAATGCTCTGGGAAGTTCCAAATGAGGTGCCACTGCTCCAGGTGAGCAAGATGGAGATCCAGGAAAAACCAAGAAACTAAATTTTATTGCCCAAACACCCACTGTGGAACTGAAGAGTCTACTTCTAGACCAATGAGAGGCACTGTCCTAAAGTGAAACAAATACTGTGCCAGAGATTCTAATTCTAGCTGGAGTCAAAATGCTCACGTTTGAATTCCAGCTCTACTATTATCACCTGAGTGACTCTGGGCATGCACCTAGGCACTTTGATACCTGGTTCTCCTATTATCCACCTACAAGTTGCTAGGAGGATCAAATGAAACAATTTTGTGATAAATTGTAAACAGCATCATTTATCTTCTAATCCTGCCTCTGTTACCAACAGACTATGTAACCTCCCTGGGCCATAGTCTCCTCAACAGTAAAGTGAAAGGATGAAATTATAGGATTGCTAATGTCCATTCATCAAGTCTGTAAAGTTCTATAATTACATTAAGTTGTTTGGTTGTGAGTGAATGAATCACCACCACTTAGAAGCTCAATCCTCTGGTTTCCTGCCTTATGGGGCAGATTTTGATAATTTAGATAAAGTACTCTGGCCTCTATGCCCAGAATAGTAGCTCACCATAGATAGTACTGAGTCTTCACTGTAGTTCTAGCTTCTGACTCAGGCTAGCCTCTCAAATTACAAAAGACTGAATATATGAGCAATTCTTGAGACTCAATTAAATATACACTGTGAGAAAATAGCAGATCAGGTACCATGTGGTATGGCTAGTGTTGGTGGACAAGAATTAAACTTTATAAAAGGTGATGCAGTGTAATAACAGCAACAATAATTAGTATTAGAACTCACACTTTTTTTTTGGTGGCTGGCCAGTGCAGGGATCCAAAACTTTGTTATAACACTGTGCTCTAACCAACTGAGCTAACATGCCAGCTCAAGAACTCACACTTTTAGTGATAACTGGTAACAGAAGAAAAGGGAGGACAAGCCCTGCACCCTGGCTGTGGGCCTCCTGTGCCAGCCCTTTACCTCTGAGTGGCACTGCAACATGATTGATGGGATTCTACCTGCTATTTTTTGAGCCTTCCAAAGGAGATCTGGTATTTGTTATATACCTGCTATGTACCATGAAGTCATTTTCCTAAATATCATCTAATTTGGATCTCACAATGACCCTGTAAAAATTACCCCCACTTTACAGATAAAGAATCTGAGGTTCAGAGATGTAATGTAACTTGTTCACACAGCTAGTAAATGACAGAGAAGGGATTGGAGGCCAAGTCTCTCTGGTTCCAAAGCCCAGGCTCTTCCCACTGTACCAGAAGTCTTTTCCAAGGGCACATAATCCACAACTTTTCCTGAGATTAGGTCCTTCTGTCTGGAATACCCTTCCCACCTTCTTCACCTGGATAACTTGTATACAGTCTTCAATATTTACCCAGGTAGATCATGAACTCAACAACAGACAGTGTCTTAATCTTTAATTCCTAGTGCTTAGGACAGAGCTGGGCAAATAAGAGGCCCTCTCACTGAATAGTTTTTGAGCTATATCAAGCAGAGTTAAAAACACTACAACAAAACCACTGCTAGTTGTGAACTCATAAGCACTAGGATTAAATAATTGCTTGGATGAGAAAAGCATTTTCCAGGTCTGTTCAAATATTGTTGAATCTGTTATATTCCTTGCTCTGAGTTTGTTTCTTAGGACAAAAAGTAGATTCTGGAAGGCTGATAGAACATCAGAAAATACAAACCCTTTTTGGAAAAAAAAAAGAAAAAAAGAAAATACAAACCTTGATTGATGTTGAAAATTCCAGATGGGGGAATCTGTGTTTTCAACCACTTGGGTATATACAGGAGATAGTTCATCAGCTGTTGTAAAGGATACACAACAACTGGGTATTGGTACTTTCCGCTCTGTCAAGGGGCTCCCTGAAATAGAATATAGGAATGACTGTATTTTAGGGTACCAAAAAAGAATGTGCTGGAAGAAGCCTCCCATTATATAGGTACAAGCAGTACCATTCCTAGCCCTTTGGGTCTTTGCTCAAGCTATTCTCTGTACCTAAAACGTTTCTAGTGACCTTTCTGCTACTGTAATGTCCTTTCAAGGCTCAGTTCATAAATATTCCCCAGCATGAAATGACTTCTCCTATCTCCTTGTATTTTGTGGGATGATGAAAAATACTGGATTGAGAGGCAAAAGATAGGACAGAACTACAAAGAGTCCTGGACTAAAGAGTCAGATGACAAATTATCAGCGCTGCCATATATCATGTGACCTCACGCAAGGACTAACTAGGCCACAGCTTCTTCAACTGTAAAATAGGGCATATTATACTTACAGCTCTTTAGACGTTGTAAGGATTAAGAATAAATTCTAGTAGTAGGTAGCACATATAACATACTGTATGCCAGACACTGTTTTAAGTAATTTACATATAATAACTCATTTAATCCTTACAATAATCCTATGAGATCAGTATTATTATTATTCCTAACAAATAGATTAAAAGAAAACTGGGGTACTGGGAGATTAAATTAGTTGGTCACACATTTATCAAATGGTAGAACTGAGAGTCAAATTCAAGCATTCTGAATTCCAAAGTCCAAGCTCTAAACTATCACCTGTACTGCCTCCACTATGGGGTTAACAAACATAAAACACCTGGTACTGTGCTGGTGAGGATAACTACTGTTAATTTTTCTAAGATCAAGTGTCCAATGTGGGAGACTCAGTCATTTATTTTGTCTTAAAACAATGTAAAATGATGGGGCCGGCCCGGTGGCGCACTGGATAGTGCACCGCTTGTGAAGCACGGCGGCGCTCCCGCCCGAGGGTTCGGATCCCACATACAGACCGGTTCCTGCTCACTGGCTGAGCGAGGCGCGGGAGCAACACCGAGGGTTGCAATCCGTTGCCGGTCCCCGGTCCGGTACGGGGGCAACACTGAGGGTTGCGATCCGTTGCCGGACACGGAAAAAGACAAAAAGACAAAAGACAAAAAAAAAAAAAAAAAAAAAAAAATTAA